GGAATCCAAGAGGAAGCAGAGTGTTAGATTTCTTTCGGGTTGAGGAAGGGTGGTATTTTAGATCATTGCTATATAAACATTTTTAATACTGACAATAATTTTAAGTATCTAACATTGATCTTTTTATCATCTAAACTCACAGACTATTCAGACTCTATCATAGCCTCAAAAATACTGCTCTAATTACACCCGGGGTCTCTTTGAATGCATGTGTTTTTGGCTCTTGGGACCAGCCTATCTGGAGCTCTCATTATCTTGGCTGCTTTCAGGAACCTCAAATGAGCCAAACAGTGAACAATAACCAGAGTAGAGATCATTCTTCAGTCAAGAAACTGAGAAGGGGCTGCTCTGGTTCATTAGTCCAGAGGCTCTTTGACTTTTTAAATAGCAATAAAGAAATCAGTGGAGTCATCATTTCTCCTGTTCTGTTAAAAAGTTTTTTTTTTAATTTCTTTCAAACAATTTTGTAAAGTCTTAGAGTTTTGCCTATCATATTATAGTACCACTGTTAAGTGGTATGAATGGAAATGAAGCAACTTCCCCAAGATAAACAGATCCTGATATTAGGGTGACTGTGGGGAAAATGCTACAGTGGGGAAAATAAATATTTTTACCTTTCCCTAGGGAGAAATGTCGGTAGATAATTTTGATCTTAGCAGTTTCATCCTACTTCAGTATAACTGACTTTCCCCTCCACCCACAACCCCATGACCTCTTTGGAGTAGATTTTTACTTTTCTGCTAGATTTATGACTACTGTTACCAATACAATGAATTATTGTGGTGTCCTATTGCACTACTCACATGCTGACTCAACATTATTTGAAAAAAAAAAACACAAAAAAGATTACATTATATTGGAATTAAAATTTTGGGGTACTGGAGATATAGCCCATTGGATCAGGTTCTTGCCTTGCATGTGACCAACCCAGATTCAATCCCTGGAACCCCATATACTACCCCAGCACTGCCATAAGTGATCCCTGAGCAAAGAGCCAGGAGTATACTGAACACTACCAGGAGTGGCTTCCCAAAGCACTCCCCTCCAAGTTCTTGATCATGGAAGAATTTGACACACTAGAGAAGATTCTAGGCAAAATAGTTGATGAATAACTGAATGTATCTAATAGATACTAAAGAAAAAAGCTTTGTTACCGTAAATAAAAACTCTTTATTTGGACAATAATATTCCCCTCCCCCCACTTTTTTTTTTATTGAATCCCTGTGACTTACACAGTTACAAAGTTGTTGGGTGTTGGGTTTCAGTTCTACAATGTTCTAACACCCAACCCTTCACCTGTGTACATTTCTCAGACCAATGTCCTGTTTACCTGTTTACCTCCTTCCCTCTCTGCCTGCCTCTATGGCAGGTAGACACTTTTCCTCTCTCTCTCCCCTCTCTCTCTCTCTCTCTCTCTCTCTCTCTCTCTCTCTTTCTTTTAGGCACTGTGGTTTGCAATACTGGTACTGAAAGGTTATCATGTGTATCGCTTGACCTCTTTCAGCATTCAGTTCTTGTCCAGAGAGATCATTTTCAACAATCATTGTCACAGTGTTCCCTTCTCTGTCCTAACTGTACCCTCTGACTTGTGGCAATCTTCCTACCATGGACCAGTCCTCCTGGGCTTCATTTCTTACTGTCTTTGGGTATTAGGCTCATACGATGTTTCTTCATATCTCATAAATAAATGCAATCATTCTGTCTGTCCCTCTCCAACTCATTTCTCTTAGCATGATACTCTTGAAAACTAGTCTTAACTTGTTATTTTTATTAAACAAATTTCTTAAGATGGTTGCCTTAAATGTGAGGTGCAAACTACATATACAAGCATATAAAAGATGCCATCTTCATGAAGGTCAACCGGATAAGAGCTACAAGAATGTCAATGAACCCATTACACTATAATTGAAGTACATACAGAAGGCTCATTCCACACTGATGTAAATAATAGAATCCAAGAGAAAAACATCTATGAGAGGCTTAAGCTAGAGTCCAATGAGTAGGATTTTTTAGTAGACAGTCACTGTCATGGTTACACTGTCCTGTTGTTCATTGATTTGCTCGAGCGGGTCCAGTAATGTCTCCATTGGAGACTTTGTTGACTAGACAGTCAAGGCGGTAGCAATTATTTCAAGTATGCAAATAGGTAATGTGTCAAAAAGCAAGGATGCACACATGTAAGTATTGTAAGACAAGAAGATGGAAGTAAGATAGAACCTGTCCTAATATTTCAGAAGTATGAGAGGATGAAAGATTTTAAGTGGAAGATCAAATTTATGATCAACATAGGATATGTTTTTAATAGTTAAAAATGAGTTGGAGTCTACTGTAAAAAATGAGGAATAATCAAGGGTTCTTAATCATTCTGTGTCATGGCTACTTGGATAGTCTGGGAAAATCCTGTGAACTCTTTCTAGGAATCATAATAATAAATGCATGGAATAAAACAAAAGAACCACAAGGGAAAAAAAAACAAAGAGCCCAGGCTTTAATCTCTCATTGCATAGCAGTGTAAATCATTCAAGTTTCCATGTTTACATTTGTAAAGTATGTGACATTCATTATAGAAGAAGCTTCCAATGAGTAAGCTGAATGGGAGATAGCAGATCCAGGGATAGAACTCATGTTTTATTCATCTTTGTTTTCTCTTACTTAAATTTTATAATACTCAGTAAATGTTGACTAGAAGATTTTGAAAGAAAAAAATAGGATATAGACCAAATGGAAATCCTGTGAGATCCTTTTGAAAATAATTTTACAGAGGTTTAATAGGTTCAGGTTGAGTCTAAAGGTAATGATCAGCGGAGACTTGGGCTACCTGAATTACTGAACTGATTATAATGGTTACATGATTAAAAGATGTACATTTCGCGGGGAAAACCCTCTGCCAGGAATGCAAGCTCCAGTCAGTATGTGTCTGTGCTGTGATCCGTTAAAGAGGCATCACTCTCTCCTTTGAATTAGCAGAACAGCCACTATGCATTTGATGTGGGAAAGACGTGTCTGACTTTAAACTTGGCTGGCTCCGGGAGAAGGTCGCAGAGATCATGCATGCATAGTTAATACTTGCAAGCATTAGCCATGTCGTAGTTCCAGAAGTGTAGAGGAGTGATCCAGAACTATTTCACTCCCCCATTTTTTTCCCCTTTCTGTAGAATATTTTCCTTCTATTTTCCCCTCATTTTACACAGTCTCTACGGGGTATCCTGACACTGAAAAAATGTGACAGGAAGAAGGGACTGTCCTAATTTGAAGGGTTGAGGATGACACTTCTGGCACGAAGGTTACCTGGGAATGGGGACTTACTGGTTACATAAAATGAGACACGTTTCTTGCTTTTCCCAAAGCCACACTCCTTCTGGAGCTTTGTTTTCCTCCTTAAGTCACTGCTGAGGTATTTGCAAACCAAGCCAACAGTGACATTTTATTCACCAAAGTCGAACAAAGCATCTGCTAATGGAAACAGCCTGGTAAAGTAGTGAAAAGAGCACGGAAGTGTCAGGGCTCGCGTTGAGAGCTCCCAGTCAGCGGGGGGACAAAGGTGCTTCGGGTCTCTAGGCTCATCTGCAAAATGGGGTTAGCGGAGAATAATAGAAACATAAAAAGAGATGACCAAGGGGATGTTATGCCCCAAACCAACACGCGTGGAATGTGAAGCCGAATATTAGGACTGTGCGGTTACAGCCGAAACTTTTTGTCCCTCTGTCGTCACAGAGATGCCCAAGAAGACTCCAAACGTTCCCTTTCATCCCGGCCGCTCCTGCTCGCTGGGGATCCAGTAACAGTAACACTGCTCGCTGTAACTCGAGAATTCATGGCTGCAATGTGCCTTCGCTTGCCTTTCTCCAGCCGCCCGTGGAGAGGAGGCACCCAAGTACAAAGCACCCAGTTTCTGCCGGTGCCACCCAATCCCGCAAAGTAGTGCACCGGGAGGCCAGCTTGCCGCCCGCGGGAGGAAAACGGCTCTTTTCAGGGGGGGGCATCATTTCTGCTCTTTGAAACCAGCTCCCCCACCGGGGTCGCTACCCTTTCCCGGGCAGAAAGTGGTCCCAGACGTAGGCAGCCGCGCCGATGAGCAGAAAAGGGGGCTACCTGGGGTTCTGAGATCTGTGCAGGGGTAGGGGGAGTGGGGATGGGCGCGTCGGGGGGGGGGTCAGCCACCCTCACCCCCCCCCACATCGGAGCTCACTGGTTGGGGATGGAGAATCCCAGGGAGATCCGCCGAAGAAACGGCTCCCCCCACCCCACCCCGGGGAGGGCGATGCCGCGACCTTCGCGGTCCCGACCCCCCGCATCGGCCGGTGCTCGCGCGGGGCTCCCGCAACGTGGGCGGACTGCGGTGCCTTTAAGACTTTTGCCTGCCGCACATGCTCAGCTCTTTGTGCGTTGCCGGAGTTTTTGGCTCTTAAGAAAACGCCAAGAAGCCGGCGGGAGGCTGGGGGGGTGGGGTTGGGGGTGGAGGACGGGGACAGCGCGGGGGGGACCGGCGCCGGCACTCTCGCAGCCCAAGTCGGCGGGCGGCTCTAGTGCAGGACGCGCTCCCGAGGCGCGGGGGGGCGGGCGGGGGGGCGGCTCCCGGGGCCCCGCGGGGACGGGCCGGGCGGCCGCGCCGGCGACACCTGGGGGGCCCCCGCCGCCCCTCCGCGCGCCGGCCGGGCGGGGTGGGCGCGCACCGCGAGCGCGCGCGCGCGCGCGCGGGGGGGAGTCCCCGATCCCGGTCGGGGCGGGGCGAGACCACGGCGCGGGGCCCGGGGGGTGGCGGCTCGGGGGCGCGCGCCGGGCAGGGGTGCGGCCCGGCGGCCCCGCGCCTCCCGCCGCAGCCCCGCAGCACGCGCCGCGGCCGCGCGGAGGACACGCCAGCCGGGGGTCCCGCGGCCGGGCGGCCGGGCGGCGCGAGGCTGCGGCCCGGACTCCCCGGTCCCCCCCGCCCCGCCGCCCGCGTTGGGCGCGCCCACCTCGGGGCCGCCGCCGGCCCCCCGCCCGCCCGGGCGCGCGGCGCCGGGAGCCCGAGCAGTTGGCGCGAGCGGCGGGCGAGGCGGGGCGGGCGCGCCGGGGTCCCCTCCCCCTCCGCAGGTCCCCTCCGGAGCGCCCCGCGCCGCCCGCGCCCCGCCCAGGACAAGGTCAGGGGACGGAGGGGCGATGCCCGAGGGCGACCGGCCGGAGCCGAGCGGAGGCGCCCGGCGCGGGGATCGGTCCCTCCGGAACGGGCCGCGGGACGGGGGTCGGCGGCGCTGAGCGAGCGGCGGGCTGCGCTCCGGTGCCCCCCGCCGCGGAGCATCCCCGTCCTCGCCGGCGATCGCAGCCCCGCGCCGGCCGGGGGCGCCCGGGAAGATGGAGCCGGGGGGCCGGGCCCGCGCGGGGTCCCCGCCGGCGGCCGCCCCCGGCCCCGGGAGGGCTCGGCCGGGGGGCGGCGGGGGCGCCTCCGCCTGGCTGCTGTGCTACGGCTTCCTCTACCTGGCGCTCTACGCGCAGGTGTCCCAGTCCAAGCCGTGCGACAGGACCGGCTCCTGCTTCTCGGGCCGCTGTGTCAACTCCACCTGCCTCTGCGACCCGGGCTGGGTGGGGGACCAGTGCCAGCACTGCCAGGGCAGGTTCAAGTAAGTGCCACCGCCGGACCCCCGCGCACCCGTCCGTCCGTCCGTCCGTCCGTCCGTCCGTCCGTCCGTCTGTCCGTCCGTCCTCGCCCTCCTCCCCACCCGCTCCATCCGCGCCATCCCCTCGGGGACCCGGGCCGGAACGGAGCCGCCGCAGCGCGCCCCCCTCCGTGCCCCCCATCCCCGGCGTCCCGGCGAGCCCCTCCGCCCCCCGCGATCCGGCGCTGCGCCCCGAGTGCCTCCGGGGACGCTCAGCCTTTCCCTGGGCCCCGATTGTCCGCAGCGACTCTGGTCCCCAGCGCATCCCCAACCCCCCCGCGCCCCGCGCGCACCGCCGGTGCCAAATCCCATCTTTGTTAGCACGCGATTCGGTCATCGGAAATCCTGCAAGAGTAACTCTAGGGATGCGCATTGGGGGGAAAAATGCAAACATTTCAGAAGTGCAAAGGTTCAAAGTTAGAGGCTCCCAGGACCTGCCTCCCATCCTCTGCGAGGTAACCACGACCAGGATGGAGTTTGCTTAGTAATAATCGCGATCTCCGGAGGAGTTGAGGATGGGCTCCCGACGTGCCAAGCGCTGTTCTAAGCGCCTTACGTGGTTTATCTCATTTGTTACAACTCAATGAGTTAGTAGAATTATTATACCGGATTTGCAGTGAGAGTCGAGGCAGTGAATTGAAGTCATTTTGCCCACATCACATCACATCACCAGCAGTGAAAGGGGCCAAGTCCTGAGTCCCAGTAGGCAAGTAGGTTTGCTTTTTTTTAGCCGGTAGGCAGTATGAAATGCCCTAGGACCACCTGGGATGGAGAAATACGGGAGCGACTTCGGGTTAGGTAAGAAGATGAAAGACCTGGTCTTTGAAAAAAAAAATCCTGAAATGTCCAAGATCAGGTATTTTTCGAACTGGTTCTTTTCACTCTCAGCTGTTGTGTGGGAGGAGCGCTTTGATTTTTCCGTGGCGCGGGTTGCGGGGTGCTCAGGAGCTGTTTGCTTTAGCACAGCGAGGTTACTCTCCCCCTGTTGGTTGATGTTCCTTGCCTTCTCGCCTGATTTTGAAGAGGAAAGCAGCAAAAGGAGAACCCAACCTATTACGGAAAGTCTGTCTGACAGCTGGCAGATACAGACATTAAGTCAGTAAACTTCGGAGTGTGAAGTTTGCTGCACTGGTTTGGGGCAGTGAAATTAGCATACTGTACTAAGCTTTTGTCAGGATGCAGTCAAAGAGAAGTGAAGTTTCTCTCCAATTCGAAATGGTTCATCTTCAATGTTTTACAGAAAAATTTCCTGGGGGGTTTTAAACAGGACCCCCCCGCCCCCCACTTTCCATCCTCTTTCATATTTTTATTTTTGAAACAGCGATAGCACAACAACAAGACATTCCTGTGGAAAACATTAGCTCTTTTTTTTTTCTTTTTGGGTCACACCTGGCGATGCACAGGGGTTACTCCTGGCTCTGCACTCAGGAGTTAGTCTTGGTGGTGCTCAGGGGACCATATGGGATGCTGGGAATCCAACCGGGTTGGCCTCGTGCAAGGCAAACGCTCTACCCGCTGTGCTAGCTCTCCAGCCCGCAACATTAAAGCTCTTAAAGTTCATTATAAAGTGGTTTTAATTTTTTTTCTAGCACTTTTAAATCTTAGGTAGACCATATTCATTTCAGCAAGTTTTTGTGAAAGTGAATCTCAAAGTGAAATTTTATGAAAATTTTTTTGTAGCAATAGGCTGAAATGTTTCATCGCTTCATACTTGGGCGTGTAGCAGGGCCTCTCTCAGCACTGGAGAGGAACCCAGGGCCTCACACATGTAAGGCCAAATGCTTAACCACGGAGCCGTGTCAGGTTTGAAAATATGTTCCCGTTTAATTTGGGAGAGGTGCGAATAGAAAGCTGTTTTTTTTTTTTTTACTTTAAACTTTAAAATAGCTGGAGCGATAGCACAGCGTGTAGGGTGTCTGCCTTGCATGCGGCCGACCTGGGTTCGATTCCTCCATTCCTCTCAGAGAGCCCGGCAAATTACCAAGAGTATCCCGCCTGTGTGGCAGAGCCTGGCAAGCTCCCCATGGTGTAGTCAATATGCCCAAAATAGTAACAAGTCTCACAATGGAGACGTTACTAGTGCCTGCTCAAGCAAATAGATGAACAAGGGGAGGACAGTGCTACAGTGCTTTACTTTAAAAAACTGTTTCAAGACACTGCACTCTGGCACTCCACCCTGGGGTATTGCTCATCCCTCCTCCCTTAGGCCCAAGTGCTTATCCTGGTGCTCCACACGCCCTGCTGCTAATGCCCCTTGGTTTTTCATGATTTCCTCACAGAGGCTGCCAGTCTCCTTTGGATACCCATTTTCTCTGCTTCTCTCTCTCTCTCTCTCTCTCTCTCTCTCTCTCTCTCTCTCTCTCTCTCCCTCTCTCTCTCTCTTCTCTTTCCCCCCCTCTCTCCTCCCCCATCTCTGTGTGTCTCATTCTTTGTCTCTTTCCAGAGAGCCCCACATAGGATTCCAGAGAATCCTTTTTTCCCTCTCTCAATAGAATTATTTCACTCCCCCTCCCCCCCCAAAAGAGTATTTCAACAGGAGGAAAAGTATCTTGTTGCTTGTCAATAGACTTTTTTTTCTTAAATGTTTAGACTTTAGCTATGACTAGTAGAGCAGCCAACCTCTTTACCCAGCAAGAGAGAATTTTCAACCTATGAGAGACAGCAGATCCCTTGTGAGAAAGGCCACATTGATTTTTTTTTGTTTTTCAAATATCTTTTTGTACGTAAACTGAAAGGCTGCCTGATTCATGTGTAATTACACCTTGGTGTGGTGGGTTTGCTTCCTTCCGGTGAAGAAGGCAGAAATTACTGCAGGTCCCGCTGAGCTCAGTGTCCATTTCAGAGTTGTGGTACTTCCTCATCGGTAGAATCAGCAGCCTTGACCTCTCTGGCAGATGTCGGAGTTAGTGGGAAGGATCACAGGTTGCTTTCAAACCAGCTTAAGTCACTTCTAGGATGCTCACAGACAGACTGTAGTAAGTTCTAGAGGACTGGCTTTTTATAGGCACTGTCAAATAATAATGAATCCTGAGCTAATCATTGAATATTCATCATCTCCTTACAAGCTATTTCTGATGGTTTTTTTTGGGGGGGGTGAGGGGGGCTTCTATATTAGTAAGTACTTTTACATTTCCCTGTGGTACTCAATGATTAAATAAAGTAAATACAACTGGTATAATTCTAGTTTGTTATGCATACTAATAGTAAATAAAATGTACTATCCAGAGTTTAAAGGACACTCAGTTTATAAGAAAACAGCTCCCTGGAAAAGCACATGCTAAGCTAAAAAAGGTTCGTTTGTGACATTAAAAATTTGTCCTTTGAAGTAATAACACAGAGGCAAAGACTTTCCTGGAATTGGCTTTATTAATAATCTTGAGAATCTTTTTTTCTAAATCGAAAGATAGCAGCCCAACAAACAGACATCAAAAATGATCAATCTTGGTAAGCAGGTGTCAAAATTAATTGGCTGGCTCCATGGCAACATCGCCTTTTTTGGACTGCCATAGGGATTTCCCCAGGGAATAAAGAGTAGTCTTCAAATGCTGCTTTGGAATGGAAGATTGATAGTCGGGGAGAAATGCAGAAGCAAGTGTGGTAGAAGAAGTGGTACTTTCGTTCTCTTAGCATTGATTCCCGTCTTTGGTTTCTATGTGAAAATAAAACACTCAGAATCACGAGCCATTCTTCCAGTGATCCTTGACGGAAGTGAGGGGGAGACCAGGAGGACTGAGTACCGGAAAGGACAGCATCTCTTTGAAATACCGAGGAGGATGGAAGATTTGCTCATTTGAAGCAGACTTCTTTGAGCCAACTAGTGGAATGCTAGTCTAGAAAAAAAAATAATTACCATCAACTTTGTTTTTCTCATAGATTTAATTTACTTTTTATGCTTGTGAGATGCTTTTAAATGAAGACTCCCACCTGGTCTCCTAAGTACCAGCTCCTAAAGTCACTGTGCCGAGTGAATGATGTTTTCCTTACATTTGTTTTCTGGGCCCCTGAAAAGCAATGCTCGGGGACCTGGGTCACCCCTGGGGCCTCTGGAGCCATGCTTGACCTGGTCTTGCAGCCTTCCCGAGCTCAGGCTGGGTCGAGCAGTGCTCCTTGTTCCTGTTGATACTGAGGGCAACCAGTACCAACGCAGCAGTGCTTGGTCTCCACCAGGGCTGTGTCAACTTTCCTCTCTAAGTTTATTTTTGTAGAATAGTTGAGAATTTTATGTACATTTTGTATTCAGCTGCAGACATTTTCTTCCTGATGTGATTTAGGGAACCCCTGACTTCTAGTTTCTTAGGTAAGTAAAATAAGTTAGTGCTTGAGCTTTTCAAAGAATGCAGTATGCTAATAGTAAATGCAAATTTATTATTAAGATAGTTATCATTTTTCCTAAAAACGTCTACTAAATCATATCATGGTTTAGAGATGCCTTTTTTTTTTTTAATTAGTGAAACACCATGAGATACGGTTGTAAACTTACAAACTTTTGTGCTTGGGTTTCAGTTATACCATGATCAAGTACCCATCCCTCCATCAGTGCCCATTCTCTACCACCAGTGAAACCAGTAGCCCTCCTACCCCCTTAATCCCCCCTACCCCGCCCCATCTCTGTGGTAGGGCATTCCCTTTTGCTCTCTCTGTGGAGCAGACTTTCTGGTACTTATCTCAACTATTCTTGGGTGTTAGTCTCCCATTCTGTTACTTTATATTCCCCAGATGAGTGCAGTCTTTCCATGTCTGCCCCTCTCTTTCTGACTCATTTCACTTTGCATGTTACTTTCCATGTAGAACCACTTGTTTGCAAATTTCGTGACTTAATCATTTCTGACAGCTGCATAGTATTCCATTGTGTAGATGTACCAAAGTTTCTTTAACCAGTCACCTGTTCTCGGGCACTCGGGTTTTTCCCAGATTTTGGCTATTGTGAACAGTGTAGAAATGAACATACAAGTGCAGATGTCATT